GAGGTGGGAGGAGGGGATAGGTGGGAGGAAGAACAGGTTAGGGAGGCAGGGACGAGCTGGACTGGTTTTGGGATGCGGTAGGGGGAGGGGAGATTTTGAAACTTGTGAAATCCACATTGATACCATTGGGCTGCAGGGTTCCCAAGCGGAATATGAGTTGATACCAGGTGAGACCAGGCAGATGCCAATGGGAAGGAAATAAACAGAACTCAGTTCACCCTCAGGTCAAGGCTAATTCGACTTGATCAGGGGCTGCATTGATATAAATGTATTACATTTCACTTTCAACCACTGGTTAAGAATAGAATACACCACAAACGTTATTAACTATCTTTCCTCCTGTGATGTTTTTTTAATCCTTGAACACTCATCACCTAAATGCAATTTGAAATTAGAGGTACAATGTCTAGTAACCTAAAAGGCATTGGACAGACTAATGTTCTGAGGGCATGGATTCAAATCACACCGGAACAGCTGGAAGTTTTTAAATTCAATGAATAAGCGTGGAATTGAAAATTAGTCTCAATGATACTCACAATGGAATAATTGTCAAACACACAATGAACCCACCTGGTCCCTCAATGCTTTTTAAGGAAGGAAATCTGATAGCAATATCTGTCCAGCCTACATGTAACCCTAGAACCACAGCAATGCAGAGCACCCTAAACTGACCCTCTCTCCAATGACTTAGCAAGCCATCTAGTTCAGGGCCCATTAGGGAGTCAACAAATACTGGTGTTCTTAGACCCAATGCAAATATTTGTAATATATCATTTTTAACATCGCTGCTGCTCAAAATCCCAACCCAACAAGAAACATTTGGAATATGAGCCAGTAAAATATATCATGAAATATATTTTCTATAAACTTCACCCAGTGGAGTCCAAAGTTAACCAGTGATATGGGGTGGCCCTGTTTTGTTTCTGTCTCACCACCCCTTTCCCATGTTAATTTCTCAGTTACAGGATGCTTCCACGAATCAATGACCCCCATGTTAATTTCTCAGTTACAGGATGTTTCCATGAAATAATGAACCCGCACCCCCCCAAAAAAACCAAAAGCAGAAAGCGATTTGTTAAAGCAATGGCAAAACCATGCGTGATTGGAAAGTGAGATAACAAGGTGAACAGCTGGATGAACACAGCAGGCCAAGCAGCATCAGAGGAGCCGGAAGGCTGACGTTTCGGGCCATCCTGCTCCTCTGATGCTGCTTGGCCTGCTGTGTTCATCCAGCTCTACACCTTGTTATCTCAGATTCTCCAGCATCTGCAGTTCCTACTATCTCCGTCACTGGAATGTCTCGTTGAATTCGGAACATTCAGTAACACTAACCAATTGTGAGAGTAAACTAAACGTGTAATTGTCTTCGAGCCAAAGCTGAGGTCGCTGGGAACCGTTTTGTGAATTGACTTCAGGAATCGGTGTGGACTACACCGAACAGGAGGGGGCAGCAAATGATGTGAAATGAAGCAATAGGCAATAGCGAAAAAGACGGAAAGCAAGTTGTGGATCTAGACCGTGTTCCCCTCGTCTTTACTCTTCACTGATGTAGCCTGATCCAACGTTTACTTCTGACCTTCTAGGTTCTTTGCTCAGCTTTCTTCCAGCATTTTCACTTTTTGTATGTGACCAGTTTCCCCACTGAAATAAATGATACGCAGACCCCCACCCGTCGCAGCGACATCTCAAAACTTCATCTGTGCAATCGTACAACCAGGTGGTCGGTGTCACATTTCATTGAGAGGTATGTTTATGGAGTTCTTGCTCAGTGTTGGCTGCAATTCATGGAGTAATGCAATTTTTAAAGTCGTCTCTAAAGCAATGACCCCTGTAAACAACCGGCCTCTGTGACTGGTGTCTTGTGGAATACAGATTAGAGTTATACCGCCAGTAGGTCACGCCTCGGCGGCTGCAAAGGGGCTATGTGCCTCCGAGCTGCACAAGAGCGTGCACGGAGCTCGCAGTGCTCTCCCTCTGCTGGCAGACTATGACCATGCGTGAGAGCATTAGTGCTGTTTGCCAGTGAGCTGGAGAATCAGGTTCGCCTGGTGATTTCACAGCGTTGCTGGCCCAGACTGATTCTCAGTGTGGCAGCTCAGCCTGCACTGCGTTGTACTTGCCAACACTTCTGCCTTGCATATCAAACACGTTCAGTTTTTGTTTCACTCCCAAGGAAGCGACAAGGCCTCAAGAAAATGATCAGCTTTGGCTCAGCAGAACAGTCAGCGACGCATAAAGGATTTCTTAGCCTCACGGAAAGTCCCCTATCCCGTCCCTTGCTCCGCTTTGCTTGCTCTTCTCCTTTTCCCTCATCTGACCGCGTCCCTTCTCCATCCCTCGTTCTTCCTTTCAGTCTCTCCTGCCTCCTATCCCTCCCCCATTCCATTTTTGTTTTCCATTCTCCAGCTCGTGTTCTCTCCTTGCTCCTTGCCTTGTTCCCTGACCATTTTTCTCCGCTTCTGAAATCTTTCTCAGCCTCCGCTGCTTGATCTAAGTAGTTTCGAATTTGAACCTACATCATCAGTCACCAATTTCACCACGGGGGACATTATTGCTCGGACTAGTGCTTTGCTTCTTAAATATAGAACCACAGAATCGTGGAATAGTTTCAGCACAGAAGGAAGCTATTCGGCCCATTATAAATAAAAACCGAAAGAACTGCGGATGCTGTAAATCAGGAACAAAAAGCAGAAGTTGCAGGAAAGCTGATTTTTCAGTACAGATGCTGCCAGACCTACTGAGCTTTTCCGGCAACTTCTGTTTTTATTCAGCTCATTCTGCCGGTCATTCTCCTACCTTCTCCCCATAAGCCTGTGCATTATTCCATTTCACATAACCTTCTAATTCTCTTTCAAATGTCCCATTTAAAACATATTCTCAGGCAGTCATTACAGACCAATATTACTTTGTGTAAAAATATCCCACATTGCTTTTTTCTCCTTTTGGCAATTACTTTAAATCTGTGACTTTTCATTCGCAATCCCTTTACAATGAATAGTTTCTTTTGATTTGATTTATTATTGTCATGTACCAAGATACAGTGAAAAGTATTTTTTTGTGTGCTATCCAGGAAAATCATACCTTACACAAGTACATCAGGGTAATAGAACAGAACGTAGAATATTGTGTTACAGCTACAGAGAAAGTTCAGAAAAAGATCAACTCTAATATGTGAGAGGTCCATTCAAAAATCTGATAACAGCTGATAAGAAGCTGTTCTTGAATCTGTTGGTACATAGAACATAAAACTGTACAGCATAGGAATAGGCCCTTCAGCTCACGATGCTGTGTCGAACATGACACCATCTCTTCTGCCTGCCCTTGGTCCATATCCCTTCATTCCCAGCATATTTATGTGCTTACTGTAAGTCCCTTAAATGCCCCTATTGTATCTGCCTCCACCACCAACCCTGGCAGCACATTCCAGACTGCTATCACTCTTTGTATAAAAACCTTGCCCCTCTCATCTCCTTTAAACTTTCCCCCATCACTTTAAATGCATGCCCACTAGTTTTAGATATTTCAACTCTGGGAAAAAGATTCTGACCGTCAACCCGATCTATGCATCTCATAATTTTATAGACTTCTATCAAGTCTCCCCTCAGCCTCCACCACTTCATAGAGAACAACCCAAGTTTTTCTAGACTCTCCTTATAACTCATACCCTCTAAACCAGGCAGCATCTTGGTAAACCTCTTCTGCATCCTCTCTAAACCTTCCACATCCTTCCTGTATTGTGGCAACAAGAATTAAATGCAATACTCTTAAGTGTGGTCTAAACAAAATCTTATGAAGCTGCAGCTTAACATCCTGACTCTCCTACTCAAATCTCCGACCAATAAAGGCAAATATACCATACACCTTCTTTACGACTCTATCTACTTGCATGGCCACTTTCAGGGAGCAATTGATTTGAACCCCACGATCCCTCTATACATCAATGCTGTTTGGGTTCTGCCATTAACTGTTTACTTTTCCTTAACATTTGATCTCCCAAAGTGCAGCACCTCACACTTACCTGGGTTAACCTCCATCTGCCATTTCTCCAACCAATCTGTAACTGTTCTAAATCCCGCTGTTTCCTTTGACCACCTTCTACGCTATTCACAACTCCACTGATCTTTGTCTGCAAACTTACTAACCCACTCATCTACATTTTCATCCAAGTCATTTACATATATCACAGCAGAGGCCCCAGTACAGATCCCTGCAGAACACCATTATTCACGAATCACCAACCAGAAAAACATCCTTCCACCACTACCCTCTGCCTTCTAAAGGCAAGTTAATTCTGAATCAACACAACCAAGTCACCATGGATCCCATACACCTTAATCTTCTGGATGAGCCTGCCATTAGGGACCTTGTCAAAAGCCTTACTAAAATCCATGTAGACAACGTCCACTGCTCTACTCTCATCAAACAACCTGATCACCTCCTCGAAAAATTCAATTAAGTAAGTAAGACATGACCTGCCCTGCACAAAGCCATGCTGGCTGTCCCTAATTAGGCCATGCTTTTCCAAATGTGCATAAATCCTATCCCTAAGAATCTCTCCAATAGCTTCTAACCAATGATATGAAACTCACTGGTCTGTAGTTTCCTGGATTATCCCTATTTCCCTTCTTGAACAGAGGAACAACATTAGCTACTCGCCAATCCTCCAGGACTTCTCCAGTGGCTAATGAGGATACAAATATCTTGTTCAAGGCCCCAGCAATCTCCTCTCTTGCCTCTCTCAATAACCTGGGGAAGATACCATCGGCCCCTCGGGACTTAATGCTGTTCAAGAGACACAACACCACTTCTTTCTTGATCTCAAAATGCCTGGCATATTAGCATGCTCCACATAAATCTCACTATCCTCCATATCCTTCTCCTGGGTGAATACTGATGCAAAGTACTGATTTAGGCTCTCGCTCACATCCTGTGCATCCAAGTACAAGTTCCCTCCTTTATCCTTGAGTGATGAAGGGTCTAGGCCCGAAACGTCAGCCTCTCTGCTCCTATGATGCTGCTTGGCCTGCTGTGTTCATCCAGCCCTGCACCTTGTTGTCTCGGATTCTCCAGCATCTGCAGTTCCTACTATCTCTGGTCCTATATTCACCCTTGTTATTCTCTTGTTTTTAATATATGCATAGAATGCCTTGGGTACGTGTTTTCAAACTTTTGTATCTTCTGCCCAATGGAAGAGGGTGGTAAAAAGTACAACAGGGTGATTGATTCAGTGATTTATTGTTACCACATGTCTCAAGATTCAGTGCTCCCTAGTTTTAGACATTTCAACTCTGAGGGATCCAGTGAAAAGTATTCTTTTGCATTCTGTACAGATGGACCGTACCATACAAAATGCATCAGGGGAGCAGAACAGCATGCAGAATACAGTGTTACAGCCACAGAGAATGTGTAGAGAGATCAGAATTAACATTTGAGAGGTCCATTCAAAAGTTTGATAACAGCAGGAAAGAAGCTGTTCTTGAATCTATTCGTCCATGTATTCAAACTTTTATATCTTTTGCCTGGCAGAAGAAAGTGGAAGAGCGTATAACCAGAGTCGGAGGGGTCTTTGATAATGTTGGTTGCTTTTCCAAGGCAGTGGGAAGTACAGATGGAGTCAATGGATGGAAGGCTGGTTTGTGGGATGAACTGGGCTGTGTTCATGACTCTGTAGTTTCTTGCAGTCTTGGGAAGAGCAGTTGTTATATCACATTGTGATTCATTCCAGTTAGGATGCTTTCTATGGTGCATCTATAAAAGTTGATAAGAGTCTTTGTGAACATGTTAATTTTCCTTAGCCTCCTGAGGAAGTAGAGACATTGTTGTGCTTTCTTGACTGTCATATCTAGATGGGTGGACCAGAACAAATTGTTGGTGATCATCACTCCCAGGAACTTGATTCTGTCCGCCATCTCCACCTCCGCACCATTGATATAGACAGGGGCATGCCCTCCACTCTGCTTCCTGAAGTCAATGACCAGCTCCTTCATTTTGGTGGCATCGATGGAGAAATTGTTATCTTTACACCATGCCACTAAGCACTCAATCTCTTTCCTGTATTCTGTCTTGTCATTGTTTGAGATCAAAGCTACAATGGTGGTGTTGTCAGCAAACTTGTAAATGGAGTTGGTCGGGAATTTAGCCACATAGTTGTGAGTATATAAGGAGTGTAGTAAGGGATTGAGTATGTGGCCTTGCAGGGCAACAGTGTTGAGGATAATGGTGGTGAGGTTTTGTCGCCTATTCTTACTGATTGCAGCCTATGGGTTAGGAAGTCAAGGATCCAGTTACAGAGGGGGAAGCTGAGAACCAGGCCTTGGAATTTAGAGATGAGTTTGTTTGGAATTATGGTTTTGACGGTAGAACCCGTAGTCAATAAGTAAGAGCCTGACGTACGTGTCCTTGTTTTCCAGATGTTCCATGGATCAGTGTAGGACCAGGGAGATGGTGTCTGTTGTGGACCTGTTGTGCCGGTAGGCAAATTGCAAAGGATCAAGGCAATTTGGTTGGCTGGAGTTGATGTGAACTATGACTAACCTGCAAAGAAATTCATAATTGTGAAGGTCAGAGCCACCGAGCAGTAGTCATTGAAGTTTGCTGCATGATTTTTCTTTGGCACCAGGATAATGCTGGTCTTTTTGAAGCAGGTGGGGACTTCAGATCATAGTAAGGAGAGGCTAAAAATGTCTATGCATACTGCCAACTGGTCTGCACAGGATCTGAGTGCACGGCTGGGGACTCCATCCAGGCCGGTCGCTTTCCGTGGGATCACTCTCACGAAGGCCGATCTAACATCTGTGGCGGTGACCGTGGGTACAGCTGCATCCGAGGCTGTTGGGATTGGTGACATCATTTCACTGACCTTCTGTTCAAAGCGAGGGCAGAGTGTACTGTTGCCTGCGATTCTGTTCGACTTTGCCGCATAGCCCGTTATGTCGTATAGACTTTGTTTCCCCCAAGCTTCTTTCACTCTGCTCAGTGCAGATCCTTCATGATTTTGAATATCTCCTATCAGACTTTAGCCTTCTCCAAGGAAAACAGCCTTAACATTTTCAATTTATCTTTCTAACTGAAGTTCTTCATCCCTGTAGGTATTCTCATGAATCTTTTCTGCACTTCAAAGCCTTCACATCCATCCTAAAGTGTGGTGCCCAGAACTGGATGCAGTACTCCAGCTGAGGCTGAACTATCTTATACAAGTTCAACATAACGTCCTTGCATGCACATTTTATGCCCATATTATTTTAATCCTAGGTCACAGTATGCTTTATTAATCACTCTTTCAACCTTCCTTGCTACTTTTAATGACTTATGAAAGCATGTCTAGGTCCTTTTCTCCAGTATATCCTTCACAATTGTACCCTTTATCCCATACGGTCTCTCCATGTTCTTCCCACCAAAATGAATCTCCTCTCATTTCTCTGCATCAAAATTAACTTGCCACTTATCTGCCCATTCCACCAACTTGCCTATTTTGTTTAGAATTTCTACTATACTTTCCACACAGTTTTCAATGCTTTCAAGTTTTCTACACCCGTAAACATCAAAGCTGTGCTCTGTATGCCAAAGTCTAATATAGTAACATAATGAGGCAAGTCATGGGCCCTAATACTGACTGCTAGCAGTTGTCACCATGGTAAAAAATTGGAACTCTGGCTCATTTTTTTTCTTAGATGACCACAAATATTTCTTACACTATTTAGATCACTGGCTTTAGTTCAAGAGATAAACAGTGAAGCCTTTATGGTTTATTTGTTTTAGTTCATGACATGTTCAGCTAAGCATTTCTGAGGAGCAAATTATTGAATTGTACTAATAACCTAACACTCCTTGTTCATGTTTTAATATTTCTTCAAAATGCAAATTTGCAAAATGCAAATCTACATAATTACGAAAATTGTTCATAAAACTGTATTTCAAACTGTAATCAGTCTTTTTTCATTTATCCTTCATATTAGATCTATAGAACTTACAGCCCAGATTTTCCACATAAAGTTGGACACTACACTGAGTTTGTTTGATAAACTCCCCTTCTGTTTGCATATTTCATATTGCTAACTTTTGAATAAACATTGTTACCATATTTCAGAATTTTGATATTCAAAACATTGGAATGGTATAAATTTATGTTACAGAACGTGGTCATTAAACCAATCAACAATGCTGGCTCTCCAAAAGTGGTTTGAATTTGGTCCCATTTTTTCCTTTCTTTCTTGTTCTGCAGATGCATTTTTGTTATTAATGATTCACTAACTTCTAAAAGCCTGTTTTTTTACAGGGCATCATGTGCAATAACAACTCTCCGCATTAGAAACAACCTTCCAGCCTGAAACATTCAGTTGGTCTTGCTTACTTGAAGAATTTTAAAAGTCCAAAGGAACAAGATATCTTATAGAAGTAATCTGCACTCTACATCATAAAGTATTAAACATAGTTTCTGTAATTATTATAGTATGAAATATAATGATGCAACAAAGATTGGAGCATAGGAATTCATCACCCTTTACATTTGGAATAATATTCATTCATTGGGCTTGAGTGATTTTACAAATGGAAGTCAATGGGTATTTTGATACGTGTTAGTGCAAAAAGAAACTACACTTCTTCAAGTGAATGTACTTATATCTCATATGAAACAAGATCAATGAAATAAACATGCTTTTTAATTTTCATAATTAGTGTCAAAGGCCATTAAATCTTGCTACGCATTAATACATAATTTAGATGTTGTAAATACAATGTAAATATTGGACAACGATAGACTGCATATTTGATGCCATAGTACATTGTCTAAAATAATCATGTTGAAGTCTGCTGCATTCAGAATTCCTGTTAAAAACAGTGGGTAGAGACACAAATTAGTAGGAAATGTGTTCTTTTATTTATATACTCAGATCAATATTTTCGATCCACATCTCTTCAATTTTGTATTATTCAAAGGCATACAATAAGAATAAAGTCATCACGACTCCCTTTCCCCAACTAAGGATAAAAGAGTCGAGCAGATTTAATTATCCTCTTCAGAGACTTTGGGATTTCCTTGAGAATCATCTTCAGTTTCAGATTTATGATGATTCTCCTGATCACTTTGATATTGTTCCTCATACCCTGCACTGTAAGGGTTATACATATGATACTGATCATAAGATGTTGTCACATCATTAATATCATTTTCATAAGGACATGGAGATTCAAGGTCTGGATCACAAATGATTTCATAACGGCTAGTATCACGGAAATCCACATCTCCATCAGTAACAGCAAATTGTTGCATGCGACATTCAAAGTCACAGTCAGAATCTGGCTCATACATATCCTCGTTTTCATTGCGACAATCGGAATCATAGTACGGGTCACAATCTTCTTTGTGTTTTTTGTCATCATCATGAGGTTGAGAAGTATGACAGTCTGGATCGTAGTCAGGGTTACAATTGTGTTCTGACTGACGAGAGTCTGTTGCCATTCCACTGCAGTAAGGGTCATATGGATCACATACTTTTGCATGTGTTTGTTCATTGGTCTGGGAGAACTCATTACCGCAGTTAGGGTCATTATCGGGGTTACACTCAAACAGCTTTTGACAGTTTGAATCATAACGTGGGTCACAATCTTCTGTGGCTCCTCTGTTCTGCACTTGCTCATTAATCTGAGATTGTGATCTGTCACAGTAAGGGTCAACATTAGGATCACAGTTCTCTGTTTCTGTTCTTTCTTGCTGTCTAGCTCGATATTGGGAATAATAACACTCAGGATCAGTGTACAGATCACAATTCTCTGAGGTTGTTCGCTCTTGTTCCCTAGCTTGATATCGGGAATAACATTCGGGATTAGTGTATGGACCACAATCCTCTGAGGCTGTACTCTCTTGTTCTCTAGCTCGATATTGGGAATAACATTCAGGATCCGTGTATGGATCGCAATTCTCTGAGGGTGTTCTCTCCCGTTCGCCAGCTCGATATCGGGAGTAACATTCGGAATCAGTGCGTGGATCACAATTCTCTGAAGCTGTACTCTCTTGTTCTCTAGCTCGATATCGGGAATAACATTCAGGATCAGTGTATGGATCACAATCCTCTGAAGGTGTTCTCTCTTGTTCCCTAGCTTGATATCGGGAGTAACATTCGGGATCAGTGTATGGATCACAATCCTCTGAAGGTGTTCTCTCTTCTTCCCCAGCTCGATATTGGGAATAACATTGGGGATCAGTGTGTGGATCACAATTCTCTGAACGTGTTCTTTGTTGTTCCCTAGCTTGATATCGGGAATAACACTCGGGATCAGTGTATGGATCACAATTCTCTGAAGGTGTTCTCTCTTGTTCCCTAGCTCGATGTCGGGAGTAACATTCGGGATCAGTGTGTGGATCACAATCCTCTGAAGGTATTCTCTCTTGTTCCCTAGCTAGATGTCGGGAATAACACTCAGGATCCGTGTGTGGATCACAGTCCTCTGAAGGTGTTCTCTCTTGTTCCCTAGCTCGATATCGGGAGTAACATTCGGGATCAGTGTGTGGATCACAATCCTCTGAACGTGTTCTCTCTTGTTGCCTAGCTAGATATCGGGAGTAACACTCAGGATCCGTGTGTGGATCACAATCCTCTGAAGATGTTCTCTCTTGTTCCCTAGTTTGATATCGGGAATAACACTCGGAATCAGTGTATGGATCACAATTCTCTGAGGCTGTTCTCTCCTGTTCCCTAGCTCGATATCGGGAATAACACTCAGGATCTGCATATGGATCACAATTCTCTGAAGGTGTTCTCTCTTGTTCCCTAGCTCGATATCGGGAATAACAAGCGGGATCAGTAGATGGATCACAATTCTCGGAGGCTGTTCTCTCCTGTTCCCTAGCTCTGTATTGGGAATAACACTCAGGATCCGTGTATGGATCACAATTCTCTGAAGGTGTTCTCTCTCGTTCCCTAGCTCGATATCGGGAGTAACATTCGGGATCAGTGT